CGTTTCCAAGTAGGTTTTCATCGGTATTGCAACATGTCGCCGATCGTTGTCATATTACAAAATCACTTTGTCGTAACTCTGCGGCCGTTTTTTCTTCAATGCTCGGCTGAAACGAATAAATTTTAGTCAATAGCGATCTCCCGTGATGGTTTCATTCGTTTGAGCAGCTCCACCAAATCCAAAGCAGAAGCTTGGAACCATGAATATTCGACTTTGCCGACGATGTTGACGCATAGCCGGGTTTGCCCCAATATTTTCTAGGCTTAGGATTATAGTAGCCCATCAATTTTTCATCGCCAGTTACGATACGATACAAAAAACCTCTCGATACGTCTTTTGGGGCTATCCAAAAGTCGACCCATTTATTTGGCATCTTTATGAGAATGGAAGCCAGGTTATGTGCCATCGATATGAACAAGTGATAATCGGAAGGAGCAATGTTCAGCGAATATAGCGGGAGAGGTGGGACTTCCCATTTAAGCATTTCCAAGTAGGTTATCACCGGTATTGCAACATGGTTCGAGCGGTTTTCATGCTGCAAAATCACTTTGTCGTGACTCTGCTCGTATAGCGGCCATTTTTTCTTCAATGCTCGGCTCAAACGAATCAATTATAGTCGATCGCTATCTCCCGTGATGGTTTCATTCGTTTGAGCAGATTATAATAAACTACGTCCAGCTGATCCCACTAAATCCAGAGCAGAAGCTTGGAACCATGTATATTCGACTTTGCCGACGATGTTGCAACTTTGACGCATGGCCAAGCTTGTCCCTCGATTTTCTACGCTTAGGATTAGCGTAGCGTATCAATTTTTTATTTCCGGTCACGATACGAAGTAAAATTTTGAATCACTAATCCTAATGATTCTGCAAGTTCTGCTAGCATGTGACATGAGCCTTTATGAAGCCTCCAATAATCCTTCATCTTCAAACTGTTTCGGTGCGCTAGAGCGTTCTTTATCTTCAAAACTAAACCAATCTCTGCATGTCTCAACAAGAATTCTGTGTGTTTCAGCTGCAGATTTCTTTTGAATGAAGTAGTGCAGTAAAATTCCCCGCAAATACTATTTTTTCCACGAAATTTGACATGTCTTAGCACATGAAAGAAAGTACCTTCCGCTTCGGCGAAATAATATACACTGAATTTAAAGTTTGCTTATTCCACAGACAATACAGGGTGATTCAGAACTTATCAAAAAAAAAAAATTCTGGATGTACTGGATGGGACCCTTACAAATACAAATTTGTAAAGAAAAAATGAAAAAGGGCAGTTCGAAATTGATTTAAAAATACACTTCTGCACGGCACTGGAAACTGGTCTACTGTAAAACCTGACCTCGCACAATGCGACCGGCATGGCGGTGTGATAAAAACGGACAAAAACTTTCGCAAGGAAAGACATAAATAAAATTTTATAGCACCTATTTTATATCGGCAAATTCAAATGCTTTTGCCTTTATTAATTATTAATTAAATTAATTTGTGTTTTTAAATAATAAAATCATTTGACATACCCGATGTTATAACAACAATTGTTCAAAATTTTATCCACTAACGTGTAAACACATTTGGGTCCGTCTTACTCACTTTCTACGAACTAACACAAATGATGTCTTGCTTCACCATAACACAAATGCTTCACGATAATACAAATGTTAGCTTGCTTCACCATAAATTAAAACGATATCCATCAACTTGCTATACACGCAGACCATTTTTGACACTAACTACTAAAAAGCTGTTATAAACACCACAGAAAACAGGTAAAAACTACCGCAACGACGGATTTCAGTATTAGGAGTCACATGGCTCGCCACGTGTATTGCGAATGACGCTAGAGACTACAGTTGTCCAGCTATGTAGTGGTTGAATGTACTATAACTTCAATAATTTTTTTATCGGAAACTATAAGGATTTTACAAAAATTTTTTTTACGTTATTAACTCCATTTCTCATGCCGCATCTATTCCCAAATTTTTTTGGATAAGTTGTGAATCACCCTGTATAGCTATCATTCAAGCTATATTGTCTGTGGTATTTCTATATATGTGCGTTACCATCTCAAACTACAAGCATGCAGTTATGGGGCCTGCTTGTTGTAATTACTTTTCAATTCTTCACTTTTCTGGCTATTTTCTGTTTTCAAAATTAATATTAAAAAAAACAGTTGGTAATCCGCACAGTGAAAATAAATAGCTGAAGCTTCTTAAAACACATAACATGCATGTAAAGTTCATTTTTTTATAAGACAGAATTATTCTTCGCTTTGCTACATTTGTAAAATGAAAAGTGATAAGTTGACAAGTACTTTAAAAAGATAGGCCCCGGTGACGCCATCTCTGTTGGAAAACAACGAGAACTTATTCCACGTCCCTATAAATGTCTGGCTTTATTTTTTTAGCCTACGTATATCTATATTTCAAAGAGAGTTTAGGATGTTTTCAAGTCTATGTTATAACTTCAGAAGATTGTTGCTTGTACCGTTTTACTGAAAATTGTTAATAAACTGAGGGGTGTAAAGTGACTGATCTGTTTAAGATATAGGGTATTGAAGATTAAAAATATTCAATTTAAAATACTCAATAGTTTTTTCAGTCAAATGTGTATGAATTTAGTGATGTTTTTTGTTTAAATTAGCTATATGTATAATTGGCTCAATCGACGTCAAACTTTTTCAGAAATATATCAATAAATGTAATACTGTTTTAATTTACCTGAAAAACTAGTCTTGGTCCATGAATGCTTAAATGATCCAATGAACAATTTCCTAAAGTTATGATATAAACCCAGAAAACAAATTTTTAAAATTAATTTGAATTAGCTTAGGTACATAATTGATTTCTTCAAAGTAAAAATATAAATTAAATCCATTAGAAAAGAAAATATAAATTAAATCCATTAGAAAAGAAACAGGCTGTTACAAATTCGCTTCTCACTACAGGGATCTCGAAAACGGTAAGAGATACAAACTAGCTTAAATGGGGGCCAAGTTGCGTAATCAGGGGGACCAACATTATGCCTCTAAAAAATCAAGGCTAACACGATTAGTTTTCGAAATATTTGAAAAAAACCGAAATTTTGAAAACTCGTTTTTGTTTAATTTCAGTCTTATTTGAGGTGATATTGAAAAAAAAAACACTTTCTCATGGTCACTTTTTGCCCTCTATCGATTGGCATAATTAATTTTTATATGTAACGTTTCGTCTCTCCAGGACCATCATCAACTTAATTTTTTTAAATACGACTGGAAATTTTATTACATTTTTTGCAAGCCATCATGACTCCCAATTCAGCCTCAGCCCGAACCAGATTCAGACGTTTTGTCTCGAAAAATTCATCTTCAGTGTATTCGTTCCAAATTTATCTAAATTTTTTATTTAGATTTCATTGTTTATTGAATTATCGTACACTGTAAGTGTCGTTAGACCCTGTGAAATCCATCTAGTTATTTAAACGATTACTACCACGCATTAAAATAAAAAAATATTATTAGAGTTTTATTCCCGTGTCTATAGTTATTTCTAGGCTTCTCGAGTGCTCAAAATTCAAACAAATTCATACTGACATACTCTTTCACAGTTGCGGTTACAGGTATAATAAATTCCGATAATATTACGCTGATATTCATTTTCAACCTTTATCAAAACGAAAATGTTTTTGAACATTTACTGACATTTTTTAAAGAATAATATTCAGTTGGCGTTTTGGTTGTTCATATGCATTTTTAAGAATTAATTTGTCATAATAAAATTAAAATTGTAATAATGTTTTAATTTTGACGCAACAACTTATTGAGTTATGTATGACCAAGTGATGGTAATAGTTAATAATAATAAATGTTTTATTGTAACGCGTGGTGGTAATAGTTTAAATAACTAGATGGATTTCACAGGGTCTAACGACACTTACAGTGTACGATAATTCAATAAACAAAGAAATCTAAATAAAAAATTTAGATAAATTTGGAACGAATACACTGAAGATGAATTTTTCGAGACAAAACGTCTGAATCTGGTTCGGGCTGAGGCAGTACAGTATTGGGGGTCATGAAGGCTTGCAAAAAATGTAATAAAATTTCTAGGGTCGTATTTAAAAAAATGAAGTTGATGATGGTCTTGGAGAGACAAAACGTTACATATAAAAATTGATTATGCCATTCGATAGAGGGCAAAAACTGACTATGAGAAAGTGTTCTTCTTTTTTCAATATCACCTCAAACAAAGCTGAAATGAAACAAAAACGGATTTCCAAAATTTCGGTTTTTTTCAAATATTTCGAAAACTAATCATGTTAGCCTTGATTTTTTAGAGGCATAATGTTGGTCTCCTGATTACGCAACTTTGCCCCCATTTAAGCTACTTCGTACCCCTTACCGTTTCCGAGATTTCTGTAGTGAGAAGCGAATTTGTAACAGCCTGTATACAAACTTATTGTAGATACTATTTACTATTTGTTAAATTTTACTTTTTTAAATAAATTCAGGAAATATAATTGACTTTAAAAATGTATATAGGCCACGTAAATTCATGAGTATGGTGAGATATAACCTATAAAGCATGGGTCACATTTTAAATATCATTGCTTAATACCTATTGGCATAAAACATTGCTTTGAACCTACCGACATGAAATGACCTACTAATTTATAGGTTTCATAAGCATGACTATTATAGCACTAGATAAATAAACTCTTTATACTAATAATATTGCAGGAAACAACTCATCCAAGGGCTATGTTGTGCCTCACCTGGCATTCAATTATACCCCTAATATCTAGTAAATAACTATTATTATTGGTTAGGTGAGTCAATAAGTTCTATGTATACTTATTAGTTCTAGTTAGAATAGGCTAAAAACAGAATATTTACCTAAAGATCACTAAACTAAAATCAATATAGGTAATCTTTTATATTTTTTAATTTACCGTTGCTGTTTCTGATTTCTTGTAAACTTTAAATCGAGTAAAGACTAATGTATATTTCTATAATAGCGGGCAACGTACCTTTGTTTTCCTCTATGGTATCCTCTTTAGGAGGAACGATTCTGTCCAAAATTGTATTAATAACCATTTTGTCTATATAATATTGGATTTATATCTGATATATTATTAGATATATATATTTAAATTCGCATTTCACTAAACATATTCTAAATCACACATGGGAACTCATTATCACTTAGCAATTATTACACTTTTGTTAATTTTTGAGTTGAGGTCAAATCCTTTGACTAGTCCGCGGAGTAAGTGAAGAGTGTTTAGTGACTACGATGTAGGTACGTTACATTAAAGGAGAAAGATGAAATATAATTAACACTTTAAATGAACGAATAGTGGGCAATTTGACTGTTTTATACCCATTTAAGATAAGTTACAATAAAGATATTTTATATCAACAAATAATTGTAATTGGGGATTACCAAATTAGGTCAATAATATTATAAAGTTAATTAAAACGTGAATACAATTTTACTTCTGCAATAAATGAATGGAACTCAATAACAAGTATACCTATGTATATCTCATTTTGCTTTTTCAATAACAAACTGAAATAAATAACAACTAATTTTATTTACTAGTTAGTAGTTTATGCAGTAACTTCTTTTCTAGTTATCATTTTTCTTTTTCGTGATGATAATAGCCGAAACTACTAGAAAAGAAAATAAAACATTTTTATGCTTTCAAAATTTTATACAAAATATCCGAGAATGTTATATATTTATATTTTTTTTTTAGTTCCTTTTATCTCTTAAGGACGGGATTTTGTACAAAAAATATCGCCCAGCGTGAGTCACGAAACGGGACCCCGGCAGGTGCTGTTCTAGCGGCCAACGCTTCAAGTCTAATAATTTCGCTGCACCGGATATTCGTTCGATTTTTCAGGAACGGCTCCAATTTTTGTACATACAATCTTATAAGGAAAGAGAGTAAATATTTTATTAATCAGTAATAGATTATCGAGGACAATAATATTTTTTTATTGAGTAGGCAATAATTTTTAGTTAATAAGCTTAAACAATCTTATAATTACTATTCCTTCATTATAAAAACAGAAATACGGTTTTTAAAATTACATGTAGTTTCTTCTTCAAAAGTGACCTTAAAACACGTATAACATGGAATAGTCAACAGTCTAATGTTTATATTTTCACATTAACAATCCGATAATGTAAATTAACTGCTATTTTCAGTAAAAAAATATATACCTAACCTGAAATATTTTTTTACTTTGACGAGTCGTATTAACTTAAAAACACTGCTTAATTACTAAAATATATAGAA